CCGGCTTCCCGACGCTCCAAGACGGGCGACGAGGCCCCAAAGATAGCCCGAAAATGGCCCAAGAGGCTCCCAAGACGGCCTCCAGACGGCCCAGGACGGCCCCAAAACGGCCCAAGAGGTCCCCAAGACGGCCCAAGAGAGCCGATTTGGAGGGGAGCGGGAGGGCCCGGGACGAGCGCAGCACGGCCGGGACGAGCGGTTCACGAGGCTTTTCCGAGCCCAAGAGGGCCTCAAGACGGGCCACGAAGCCCCCAAGAGGCCTCCAAGACGGCCCACGCAGGCCCCGAGACGCCAAACGACCGCTCCAAGACGCCCAAGATGGCCCCAAAACGGGCCAAGAGGTCTCCAAAACGGCCCCCGAGGTCCCAAACAAGCCTCCCAAGAGGGCCCCAAGAGTCTACAATTGTTGATTTTCCATAGTGTTCTTCGACGTTTTTTCCCCAAGAGGCCCAAGACGGCCCAAGACGAGAAAGTGTCACATGTGGCGGCTCTCCTCGTCCTCGTCCTCGTCCTCCTCCTTCTCCTCCTCTTCATCCCTCCGCCTCATCCACACCATCACCATCACCATCACCATCGCCAACATCATCAAGCCTGGAGATACAACGCGTAACAAGTTAGGACATCCGTGATCCCTCGCGCAAAAACCACCGAGACAGCTGGGCGGGCGCGGTGGCGGGACTTGCCGCAGGCAGCTGGATAAAAAAAGAAGGGAGCAGAGGAGGAAGAGGAGGCGGCCACGGGCGCCACAGAAGCGGACTTCGGGCCACGCGACCCCCGCAGCCGAGGGCCGACGGCCGCGCGCCCAGACGGCCCCCAGCCCCCTGCGGAGAGGAGGGTGCGACTGGCGCGGCACGGCAGCACGGGCATGCTGGCAGGAGTTTGACGGGGGGCGATGAACGGGGCGGCGAACTGGCACAGAAGTTGCTGAACGTTTCCGGCCCTTCTCGTCGCCACGGCTGTATTCCTTCTTGAAATCCCACCAGCCCTTTGGGTGTGAGTGGTTTAAGGAGCTCTCTCTGTCCTCAACCCCCCTTCTTCCCCTTCGGGGAGGGGTTTACCCCTCCCCCTACCCCCTCCCCCTGGACCTGGACAGGGAGTTCCGCGGGTCGTCAGGGGGGTCTTTTTCGACGTCTGGGAGGGCAACAAAAAAATCCGACCCTCACGAGGATTCTGGCCCCGAGGGGGGGGGGGAGTTTGGTGCCCCAGCTCGTTTTTGAAGCAAAACTCATTGATTTTACTATGGTTTCGGGCCCATTTTGGGCCTCTGAGGGGGCAGCGCTGATCGTCCTTCATAACAAAATTATTGATGTTACGAAGGTTTGGGGCTCATTTTTTCCTTCTCAGAGGGCAGCGCTCATTTGCGCTTCTCAGGAGGTCGCAAGAGGCCCCAAGATGGCTCCAAGAGGCCTCCAAGAGGCCCCAAAGAAGCCTCCAAGAGGCCCCCAAGAGGCCCCCAAGAGGCCCCAAGAGGCCCCCAAGAGGCCCCCAAAAGGCCCCAAGAGGCCCCAAGAGGCCCCCAAGAGGCCCCCAAGAGGTCCCCAAGAGGCCCCCAACAGCCCCAAAACCCGAGTATACGCGCGGTTCCCCGCGAACATTGGGCACGTCCCTCATAGATTTCGTGGCTCCACGGCGCGCTCCAACCATAGCCCCAGTACCCGCGGTCCCGTAAACTTCCAACCCCAAGCGCACACACACGTCGATCGTGTCGTGGCTCCAGAATACGTCCACCGTGGGGCCCAGTGGGAAGATTCGCATGCAAGTATACCCCATGCCGGCACACCCTTTGCACGCGCCGTGGCCTCGCACATGGCCAAGTTGACCCATAATGACTCCTGGACAGTCCCCCAAAAAAACTCCCGACCGCTACCGAAACGGCTCGAAGACATTCCCGAGCCCAACCTGGCTCCATTATGCCTCTCAGATGGCCCCAGATGAGACCACGACCGCCCGCGGTGTCGCCGTCCGCTCGGACACCCCCGCGGAACTGCCCGAGACCCTCTGGCAGTGGCGGCGAACAGACACCAAACAAATATCACTCGCCTTTTCACCCCTTCGCAGCTTCTACTGCCCCCCGATTGGCATAAACAAGGGGTCGGCGGTGTGGCGTAAGCCTAAGAATCATTGTCATCGCATCGACATCAGCATCATCATCATATCATCATCGTCATATTATCATCATCATCATAATCACCATCAGCATCAGCATCATCAGCATTGTCATCGGCATCGTCATCGTCATCGTCGTCAGCGTCGTCATCGTCGTCATCGTCAATATCGCATCATCATCGTCATCATCATCATCACCAGCATCATCATCATCATCATCATCATCATCATCAGCATCATCATCGATATCAACATCAACAACATCAACAGTATCACCACCAAAATTATCATTATGATCACTATCGCCATCGCCATCAACGTCATCCTCTCATCATCGACGGCATGATCACCATCATCACCACCACTACCATCACCAGGATCATCATCATCATCATCAGCAGACTCATCATCGGCATCACCGTCGTCAAATTCCGCATCACTATCAGAATCGTCGTATTCATCATCATCATCATCATCATCAGCAGCAGCATCATCATAGCCAAATACACCACCAGCACCATCGCAAGAGCCACCTTCTTAATCACTATCAGCATCGTCATTATCCTAATCCCCACCCCAACCAGCACCACAATCACCGTGACCGTCATCATCACCATCAAAATCACCATCACCATCATCCCCATCAAAATCACCATCACCAGCATCATCATTATTAGCATTATTCATCATCATCACCATCATCATTATTATCATCATCACCATCATCATCATCGTCGTCAACTCGTCATCACCGTCCAATTCCTCGTCCTCCTCCTCCTCCTCCTGAAGCGTGTAAGGTGCGGGGAGCCAGCCAGGTAGCGGCTGAGGGTCCCCGGTCCTGGCTGTTTTTGGCCTAGTGAGGAGCCCTCAAGTTTTGTCTTTCCTTTGCACCGTGGGCTCGGGCAACTTAGACTCACCTTCTACTGGCGTCTATCCTCCTCCTCCTCCTCCTCCTCCTCCTCCTCCTCCTCCTCCTCCTGCTCCTTCTCCTCCTCTTCCTCCTCCTCCCCCCCCTACGCATGAGCCAGGGGGCCCGGTGGGCACCTCGGGGTACCCGGGGAACCCAAAAAAGGTGTCGGGTGCCACCTGTCTCAGAAGAGACATGAAACTACGACCGGTGACCAGCCGCAGGACCTTGCCATCGCTCGCGCGTCCGTTCCCCATGCACTTTTCGGTTCGGTGCGTTATGTTTGTCCGCAAGATATGCTCTTCGACGGTCCTCGCTGAAAAGATATCCTCTGGCGAAGGGCGGTGGGGGGGGGCGTCCTTGGTCAGACCGTGCGGAGACCTAAACCCTAAAACCTAAACCCTAAAACCCCGCGCGGTCCGTCACCGCACGGTCATGGGGCCTCGAAGGCCCCAGTTGCCAGAGACATCCTGGGAGAACGACCTGGGTTCCAAAGCCGTGCGGCCACCCCGAATCCCCACTGACTCACCACAAGGTCGTGGTCACTTAACCCTTTGGGGGCCTTCGAAATTCAAAGGGGAAGATTCGAGGGACAAACAAAACATAGACGTACAACTTCGGAGGTCCGCGCGGACTTCTTGGAGCGGCGCCGGAAGCGCCATCAGGGGGCTCCAGCGCCGATCCAAAAAATCCGCGCGTACCCCCGAAGATGTATGTTTATGCCCTTCCTTACGAGAGGGGAGATGTGAAAGGGCCCGTAGAGCGGGAAAGCCCGCTCTCCGGCGCGACGCCGGAACGCGGGAGGGGGGCAAAGAGCAGCGGTATATACCTTCGAAAGAGCGTGTTCTACCGCTGCTGGCGGAAAACCGGGGGGGGGTCACTACCGGTTCGAACCCCTCCCCCCCGCCCCCCCTCCGGAAAACCGGGGGGGGTCACTACCGGTTCGAACCCCTCCCCCCCCCCCCCAGTGGTGGGGACGGTGTTGGTGGGGACAGTGGTGAGGGGACAGCGGGACAGTGGTGGGGACAGTGGGGGGACAGTGGGACAGTGGTGGGGACGGTAGTGGTGGGGACAGTGGTGGGGACAATGGTGGGAACAGGGGGGACAGTGGACAGTGGTGGGAACGGTGGTGGTGGGGACAGTGGTGTGGGGACAGTGGGAATGAGGTGGAAACACTGGGACAGTGGAGGGTACAATGGTGGTGGGGACACTGGTAAAGGCGGTGGCGAGGACGGCGGTGGGACAATGGGACAGAGGTACAGTGGGGACAGTGGTGGGGACAGTGGGGACAGTGGTGGAAACAGTGGGACAGCTCAGTGGAACAGCGGAGGAGTCAGTGGGACAGTGGGGACAGTGGGGATAGGCAATAGTTGGGTCCGTGGAGACAGTGGGGAGAGTGGAACCGTGGTGGGAACAGTTGTGGAAACAGTGGGGACAGTGCGACAGTGGTGGGGGCACTGGTGGGGACAATAGGGACGGTGGTGGAACCAGTGGGGACAGTGGTGGTGAGGACAGTGGTGCTGGGAACAACAGTGGGGGGTGTGATGCGAGCGGTGGTAGGGACCGGGAGTCGTTTGCTGGCGGTGCGTGGGGGGGGGGTCGAACCGGTAGTGACCCCCCTCCGGTTTTCGAGGGGGGGGGGGGGTTCCAACCGGTAGTGACCCCCCCCGGTTTTCCGGATCCGGAGGGGGGGGGGGGAGGGGGGGGGTTCGAACCGGTAGTGACCCCCCCGGTTTTCGAGGGGAGAGGGGGGGGGGGGGGGGAGGGGTTTAGGGGAGGGGGGGGTTTTGCCGGGAGGGGGGGGGGGGGGGGGGGGGGGGGGGGGAGGGTTCCAGCAGGGGGGGGGGGGGGGGGGGGGGGGGGGATTTTCGGAGGGGGGGGGGGGGGACCCCCGGGTTCCGGAGGAAAAGGTTGGCAATTTTCCACAGTAAAGCGGCGGTGAATCACGCTCTCTCATACCTTCTGAGCAGACGGATCAGGCGCCCGC